TTCTGAAGGCTTGATACTGGTGTTAGTGCCACCATGTGCTTGTGGCTGTCTCTGTAGAGACTGACTCTGGTGTAAGTCCATAAAGAAGGGCTGGTTACACTTGCCTCAGAGAGACAACCTCCACGTTGCTGCCAAAGTAAGATTACGCCCTCCTCGAATGCTCTCAGTTCTAAACAGCTGGTGCTGGTGGGACTGAACATACATGGGGGAAGAACCATCCTTTCATGCTTGCTGTGTTTGTTAACGTGTTCACATCATCATGGGCTTCTCCCTGTAACTACAGCTACCACAGCCTTTACAGCAGATGTAAGATAGAGCTCCTTTTCCCACCCTGAAGCCCTGCCCAGCAGGAGGCATCCTCTGTTGGTACAGGACTTTTGGAACTGAGGTGTGAATGGATCTCTACTGCCATAAACACAAGAAGCTGGCACAAGAGGGCTTGTGCACCAAGAGGGCAGAGGTGTTACATAGCCGTGGAACAGCGCAGCCCATATACTGCAGCACCTGAGGGATGCTGTAGGCCTAGCACTAATTTGTTACAGCACATGAACTCTGTATGGTGTGGAAATCTCAGGAACAAAACAGGGACTTTCACTGCAGGCCTGGTCCCAGCTTGTCTTCTGAAAGCACTGAAGTCTGAGTGGATTGCTGAGAGGCACGGAGATCACACTGTCATCGGGGGGATGCAGTGTGAAAGACAGCAGGCTGACACTGATGTCTTACGGTCAAGGCAGATCACAGCAAGGGGAAGATCAGCCTGTGTCTCAGACAGTCCCTCTCAGATTGAGCTGAGAGAGCTGCTGGTCTTAGCAGGAGCTTCAGAAACAGCAAATGGACAGAATGCCCACATCAGCAAACACTATGCCAGCAAACATATGCAGGGCCTGCAGATAGAAATGTACTCCTGGCTGTGGAGGCACACCAGGCCCCTGCTGGCCACTAGCACAAGGCACCACAGAACCTCAAGGGCCGCAGGCTTTGGAGGGCAGCCACAGTTGAGCACATGGCCCTGAGCATGAACACCAGCAGCACTCCTCAGAGGTTCTCAGAAAGGTGCCAGTAGGGATCAGCTTGAGCTGTAACAGCTGACGGCTCCTCTGGATGGCCTGGAAGGAGCAGCAGGCCCATGCTACTGGATGGCACAGGGGAACTCCTGGCATGAGGATGGAACTCCCAGCGCAGACAACTTGGAGGAAGCTTTCAGATGAATGATATGGCGTAGGTCTATACCAGGTCACCATAACCTGTAGTTTGAGAAACATATAATTACCAGCAGCTATACCTGCCCAGTTGTGCAGACGAGATAAATGAAGGCAAACTGTGTAGAGCTGATTAAACAGGCAGCAACCTTAGCACACTCTTCAGTCTTCTCAAGATTGTAGCCTGGTTCATGCCTCAGCTGAGTTTGAACTCAGAGAGTTCAGATAGCAGAAGAGAGAAAAGTAAAGCACTTTGCTCAACCACCACAAAAATACTGACCATGCTGTGAAGTGCCATGACACACCTTCAGTATGTGACCTACTCTGTGACCCATTCTGTCCTTTCCTCTTCCAGTTACAGGTGAGCTGTCAGAGTTCCAGCTCAGACTGTTGAATTGATCCTGCACTAGAAACCCTGGGTATAATGAGGATAAACTGTAACCCCATAAGTCAGCCCTATCACCAATGTCTTGAGAGATAGATCACACATGTCTTTCTTCGGTACAAGCCATCTTCACAAGCACAGAACTACTTGGCTCTTTGAGGGATGAGCCCAGAAGACAGTAATAAAGTAAGGACTTCCATAGTGTGCAGCAAACTTCAGTTTTTGATGTGTCTCCTCAGGGCATAGAAAACAGAGTTTCTGAAAAACTCAGCCAGAGTCAGAAGAATGTTTAGTCCATCAAAAAGGAGTCTACTAGCATGAATGTCAGTTAGGTTTAGGCATTAGAGGATGTTCCTTTTCTCTTGATCTGTTAAGAGGGTTTTTTCCTCTGGCAGAGAACAGGTGCTCTAACACTCTTCTCCATGGCATCACAGTACCCAATTGACAGATCAATTTGCAGAACAAAATAAACCCAGCGTTCATTCACCATACTTCCTTTGGCACTCAGTACTGAGAACAGCATCTCCAGGTGAACACCCTCTTCAATCATTTCCTGAGCTGAAAAACTTGTTTGCTCACTGCATTCCATCAGGTCACAGTATGTATAACTATAGCAGAAAAGGCCAACCTGTTATCCCCACACCATGCTGCCCCGAGTGAGAAGAAAGTGATGCCTCTGTTCACATGAAGTTGTCCAGAACTTGGTAATGCCCCAAACCTCCATTTTCCAAAAACAAACAAACAAACAAGAAACAAAACAAGCAAACAAACAAACAAAACAAAACAAAACAAAAAACACCACTATTGAAATAGAAACCAGCTTTGTGCACATAAGTGCAACTGTTACTGATACATGGATGATGTCCAAAAGGAGCTGCACAGGGCTATTATGCCACTGGAAGAGAATCCTCAGTATTTTAGTATGACATACCCTGTCCACCAAAGTGTCATAGTGATGCTTTTCCTCCACTCCTCTTCCTCCTTTCCCTCCCACCACCCCCACAAACATTCTTGGACATGCATGGAAGAGGTAGAAGTTGTTGGATAAGCCGGATCTCTGATTAGAAAACCACCTGTCTCCTTAGGGCAGAGCCATCAGCATCAGCTTCACACCTTACACTCCTGATTTTGCATTTCTTGCCAGCCATCGTGCACCTGCAGGGCTCAAAGGAAGTTAGGTGCTGATATAAGCACCTTCCTCCCATTCTGACATTAGCATCCCATTCACTGCCATCACCAGCTGCTCTGGCAAGTATGACCTCTGGAATTTACCACAGACTTCATGAACCGGATGACGAGACCATGTCTGATGGGCCATTACAACAGCTGTGGCCACTGCCAACGCAGGCTCCTTCTCAGGGCTTTTGTCTGTTAGTCAGGGCTGTTTCCACAGGCTAACAAAATATCATTAATGCAACATTGACAATGGTGGGAAGTACCTGTTGCAGGTAATTGCAAGACATTGTTTTGGAAGGAGTAGTGCCCCTTTCTTCTTGATGAAGAAAGAAAATGCTGTAGCAGTCACTGTTCCCTAGTTCCTGCCCCCTCTTTCCATCAAGAAAGGAGAAATCGTTTCCATGGCTAGAACAATGTCTTAGACTGAGGATAATGGGAAATAAGAAGAGAGGTGCTGGAGGGGAAACAAGGGAAGACATCAGCCCTTCTTGTTGGAACATCTGATAGTGGCAGAAAATACAAATTCAAGAAATGAAACCACTGTGTGAGGAGGAGAGGGATGCAGTATGCAAGCAGCTGATTCCTATAGCTGTACTAAAACAAAAAGCATTGAAAAAGGAGTAACAGAATTCAGACAAAAGGGATAAAGGCAAAGACAGACACAAATACTAGTACAAAGAGTCACAGATGCAGGAGAAATAGCTGGGCAGGATGAGAAGCCTGGCTCCAAGCAAATCACTGCTTTTAAAGATGCTGATCTCTGGGGAACTAGAAGTCTAAAAGCCAAATGTTAAGGAGGAGGCAAGAAAGACACAAAAGTAGGAAGTAACATTTTGGCCAAATGCTGTGAATGAAAAAGAAAAGGGTCTTGGGAGAGAGGAATGCAGCAGAAAAACTGAAGAGTCTCAGGACTGAAAGTTACAAGGAAGATCATTTAAACCAAGATTGACACCTGCCAACGTACTTCCTACATCACAATTTCAAAAATGAAACTTTCTCTTACATAGTGAACTAAGTTGTGCATTCTTTACATTCCCGGTGCCTGTTTATCTGGTCCAAACTGTGGAAAGGCAAATACACTTGCAAATAAAGGTAGCGGATGTTGCATTTTGAATATCTGTGTCCTAAAGAACTAAACACTCAAAAAAATTATGAGTTCAAGGTGTCTAAAACTGTATATGATATGGATAATTAATTGAAGCTGTCAACGCTCTCATTAAAACTATCCTATGTGTGTCTTGAATGCAGTAAGAGTGGTGTTGTAACTAAACAAAACAAACAAAAACTTAGGCAACTGTGTGAATACCATACCATCTTAGAAGACATATGAACAACAGGATCAAATAAGAACCAATAGCAACCTGCAAAAATGGTGACTAAATATTAATTGCATATTAGTATGGTCAAGGAGCAGAGTTATTCTTGTATCTTTGCTGGAGATTTATTGTTCTACGTGGTTTTTAAATGCTTATGAAGAAATAATCACAGGCCTGAGGAGATTATAATCTAAAGCTCAGGAAAAAAACAGACTAGAGGACAAGTGCAGCGTGTTTGAGGTGCACCATCATAATTACCAAATTCCAAAGATGAGACATAATCAATACCTGTCCTTGAACCATCTCTGTTGTGATGCCCTCAAAAGACATTTCAGTGTAAACAAAACAGTGATGTCACCATTATTATAGTCACTAACTGCAATCAGTACAGGTTTAGATGAGTAGAGTAGATTTGAAAGGCTTACAGCAAGTCAAGACAGGTTTCTTAGGATATAAAATCACTTCCTCTTCATTTTCTCTCCTCCTTTCTCTTTAAAAGATCAATTATCCTTATGTTTCTTTGTTCTCCCACATAAAGATTTACACATTTTATAACTGTTATGTTTGAGGAGTTGTACCTTTCAATAACTACTTTAAGTGTAGGGAAATTTGTTTCAGTTTCAGTATATCTTTTTTTTTAAAAAAAAAAGAACAGAAGAGAAAAGGAAAAAAAAAATCTGCTGCTTAATCATTTTCAGGTATGTCACAATACTGAAATCATTACAGAGTTCTGACAATGGGAGTTTTACTTGCTTTGGTGAACAGAAACATTTTAGAATACATGGCCACATAGTATATGAAAGGTCTCCAACAAACTACCAAACATCCTCGCTGTGTGTCCATATTTTCTTTTTATTCCTCTTATTATTAGCTTTTCTCATAAATTATCTGTTGGTAACACAAATAAGGATTTTGTCCATCAACAATAGTACCAAAAAGCTTTACAGAAAGTTTTCAGTTATATTTCTATACATGTGGAAAAAGTATGCAACTGATTTTTAACCTAAAAATTATATTTCTTCTCTTATCCTTCTTGTGTACAATATCTAAATATAAGACATTTCAAGCTCTTATACAGAACAGCAGTGAAATACATCACCAGACTTAATAATATGTTTAGTTGCTCCTGGTTTTAGGTGACCAGCTCAGAATCACCATGTCCAGCTTACCAAGAAGGAAGAGGCCTTCATGACATTCCACCTTCACGTTGTTTTGCCCTGCAGCAGCCATCATCTTTGATCTGTCTGTAGGACACAGAGAAGAATGGATGTTTAACTTAAAAGATAGCATTTGCACAGCTTAGGCTAGATGAAGTTTCTAGACGCCGGTAGTATGAAAGTCTAGGGAACCCTTTTGAGACAGGTCTGGGGCAATCTTGAGAAAGAAAGAAATTACTCCTTTTAGGCCAGATCTGGAAGTAGTCCTTAACAATGTTAGCATGTAAATGCCTGCAGTAGGAGAGAACTCTTCCAAGAAGCTCTTTCAAATCCTGTGGTATAACACAATTCATATCTGCATTTTTTGTCTATATAGGTTCACTATGTAATATTTTAACCTCATGTATGCAGGCCTTCAAATCATAAAAAAAATTAGCACCCTTTATTACAGCAGTAGCTACCCTAAGGTTCCAAGTTGAACTTCTAACCTTTTTCATCAGCCCAAAGAAGAATATTAAAGGTTAGTCAGCTTTTATATATATGTATATTTGTATATCTTTTTTTTCCCACATGCACAGAAGAATGATAAAAAATAAATAAAGAAGATATTTATATATCCTAGGTTCCAGGCTGTTGAGGTAAATTGTGCAATATGGGACACTAAATCTTGTTTCCCATAAGGTTCTCTAGATGATCCTGCTCTTCCCACACAATTTCTCTTCCATCACCCCAGGGAGTTTAATCATAGCTGTTGTGATGAAAAGCCAAATTCTAAATGAGTTTGGACACCCTCTGGACTCAGTTTCAAAACGCCCAATTAACTACATGCCAATTATTTAAACACTAAATGTCTTCAGAGTTGTCACTTCTGCCTTACAACATCATATTATGAGGACTTCATCCAAGATTTGGTAAATATACCTTTAAAAACCCATTAGCATCATTATCCTTTCTTTCAATAATCAATGTAAATATGGAAGATTTTTTTTTACATTTTATCAGTAGATCTATTCTTTACTCAGCATACTATCACTATGTTAATTTTTGTTTCCAGAATACTGTATAACTGGGCTAGAAAAAAATATTAATAGACACTATATTTCTGTAATCACAACCACCCTGAAATATCTTTGCTGTGTACAGAGTTTTCAAACCGTGTTACGGTGTTTGCTTTCTGACCAGCAACTAAGCCAGAATATATATCTAACTTCAGATATTTCTAGATTTGAGGTATTTCAGCTTTTGAGAAGTTGGATACATAAGGATAAGATAATAGCTACACATTGAAGTCACAATCCTTTAATATTTAAATAAACTATCATAGTAAATCAAATTATAAAATATTATCTAATTATAGCTTGAAAATTAAGCATTATACTAAATATTACTGCATCTGTTATAGTTTGCCATTTCCAAGTCATACAGGGGTATACACAGGGATAACACTATCTGTTTCTATCTAAGAGTTGGGAAACATTTATTATAGATGAGGAATTAAGCAAGAGGATCAAAGAGTTAGCAAGATTTCAGTAAGACAGGGAGGCAACTCTTTCACTTCCGTCCTCCCAAGAGAGAACAGATTTGAATGTTGTTTGTTGCAGAGCATAGGAAGGATCGTGAAAAAGGTGTTTGTTGCTGAAGGACGTGACTGATGTAAATGTGTTACATGTCCCACTAGACACAGCTCTGCGATATTTTGGAGGAGGAAGTGGGTGGCCTACTTAGCTTCCTCCTTCACTTAAAGAGATAGACTAGCTGCATTTATTATCATCCCCACTATCTCTGGTTTTCCGGCTCTGATAGAGGAGTGTGGATATAAGGGAACACTTATTTACAAGGCAAACTCACGTCTCATATTTCGTTTTGTTGTAATTAACCTTAAGATGACACCGTTGCTAATGAGCTGCATGTATTCCCTAGTGCAAATCAGATTAGGATTTACAGACGCTATAACCTCCTCATGAGGGGACGGCTGTCAAAATTCCTCATGTAAATGCTGCTTCTATAAAGTTCAAGACTCTTATCTGAGGTTTCTAAAGAACATAGCAAATACAACAACTTCTTACACAAGATTTTCAAGTGAAAAGAAAAAGAATTGATGGCAAATTTGACTGTGTTATTCAGGAAATGAAGGGATTACAACACAAATCCAGAGATTACTGTCTGAGCAAAGACAACTCTTCACAGATCGCCAACAGGTAACACAAACAAATTACTACTTTCCAGATTCTTGTGATCTGTTCTTCTATCTTTTTCTTAATGAGAAAAACATTCATCAGATTGTTCAAAAAGGTGGGATGTCTGCAAGAAAGTCTATAGATGTTAGATCACAAGTGTACAATTCCCTGAACCATCATCCAACTCACTGTTCTTCTTGTCACTAAGGCCTCTTCCACATTTCTTCTGTTTTCACTAAGAAAATCACTATGGCACAAATCCCACCATAAGACAACTTTGGACAAACAAGTTATGCGGGCTAGAGTGAGAAGAAATGAGAGTGGATAGCTGAGGAAAGCGAGGTACAGCACGATCTGTCCAAGTCCTAAATTGCCTGTGCTCTGCAATTAGTAAATATCTAGTAAATCTAGAAGATTTACTGAGTGAGCTGGCAGTGTGCTCAGAAGCACACTGAAAATGGAAAGTGCTACCTGCACTTTCTGTGCTATGTGACTTAAGTTCTTGTAATATTCATGAAAGTACTGAACTGTAAGTAAATGCTATCCAGGACAATTGTTCTGTCAACAAACGGAACACATGTTCCTGCAGCACTCTGGTAACTGAGCAGGAGTCAGATTACATCACATCAGCCAGCTGGGAAGCTAAGTTTTCCCTTGTGATTGCGAACCAAGTTGTTTTTGGCAAGATACAAATAGCTGTGTCCCTGACAGACATCTAGGCACTGAATTTCCAATTATGGAGAAGTTGCGTTTAAGACTTTCAAATCTGAATTATGGACTTCACCTTAATTCAACAGCTATTGCAAAACAATTTGCCTGTCAAGTTACAGAACGGATCTGGAAAAAAATATTGCGTAGCAGTCCTGCAATAGTTTGCTATTTTCAATGCCCTCGTCTAGCAAAGAATTAAAACTGTTGAGTGTGACCACCTGGATTTTCAGCATTGGTAAAATGTGGCTATTTTACCTCAGATGTGCTTTTTTTTTTTTTTCATTGATCAATTGACATTAGTGGGGGAAGAAGTGAGAAGGCAAGTTGGAGTCTAACCATATGAAAACTCAGACAGAAAAGATAAAACATCTTTTGAATTTTCTTCCTTTGAATTGGCAAAGCTAAAATTTTATCTGGTGTCCCCTTCTTCTGGAATCAAATCTGGCTGCACTGACACAGTAGGCTTCCAGGCAGATGCTGTCAAAATTCCTTTATTTGTACTATTTGTGTTTCATTTTTTGTTTGTTTCTAATTGCAAAAAGTTGTTCTGCACAGCTCAACAAGTACATGGGAGATACCAAACTATCTTTGTGCTGTTGGAATGCTCTTTTATACTTTTCAAGATACTGCTTCTTTACTATGGTCTGTTTTGAAGGTACGGTATAGCTAGACAATCTCAAATTCCTGTCTGATAGGAAAAAGACTTGTTGAAGACAAAAAACGTTTGTGATGGTGCTGTTCACCTTCCATAGCAGAAGGCTTCATAAAAAATGTTAACTCAGGAATTCATCTGATGTGACTTTTTAAAATCAGATATTAGATAACTTATGAAATAAATAAGGAAAGAAATAATACTTGGAAGCAAGCAGAATAGAGAAGTGGATTATTAGGAAGAGATTTACAAGGCACCAATAATTACTTACATCTTTTAAACTGGACTACCTGTCCTGAAACACTTTATAACTCTATGTTACATTAGTGAACAGATTGACAGGTATGCTGAATGAGTTACTACACATACTAAAAAATTTAAGAAAATCTAGGTTCTTTGCTCAGCACATATAGTCAATTCAAATAGTCAAACTTGGACAAAAATAGGAACTTGTCTTGAAACTAACTCAAGACCTCATTTCAAGACAGCTTTCTTACCAAACTCAAGCTTACTTTGTTGACAGCTGTGTTCCCTGAAGTATTCCCAACATGAAGTACTAAACCTGTGCTCCTCCATCAGGTACCCATGACATCATGTACAACACATGCCTGGTTTGGGCTCATTGTTGAGGATACCTGCAAGAAGAAAAGTACCATGGTAACAACAGTTGGATCAAATCATGGTTCTTTATGTTCCATATTTCGCTTCGGACACCAGCCCAAAGGCAGAGGCTTAACAAAAGAAGACACATGTACATAGGAAATAAAACAGTTCTGGTATAATCCTTCTCCAACACATCCTTCCACTTCTCAGTAGCCAGTGCAGAGATCTCTTACTCTGAAGGCTGTCTCCAGACCAACCTGCTCAAGAGCTACCAATATACAAATCGACCATGACTTGTATTTGAATTGATTGATATTTTTGCTGAGCCACCTGCCTTTTGTTTTTAAATTCACTGCCTTGTAGCTGAAGAAGTATGAGCTCCCAGTTAAGAAACAGCCAGTATCCATTTCTTGTTAGCTTTCCACATATCACACCCCGCCTTGTAAACCTCTGTCATTTCATTCCTCCAATGAAGTGACTAGCTTTTCCTGAGGACAGGAGTGACTGATGGAACTTGGCCACTACAAACCCCCCTCTGCACAGAATTCATTTTGTAGCACTGAACCAATAACTACACCTCCAACTGTGTTGTACTCTGAGGCACAGTGTTGAAACTGTGGGTTTCTAATACACAGCCATATCTTCTTTTTGCTTGCTATTCTTTTCCCAGTAATATCTAATGTTCCACCAGTCGTTCTGCCCACCACTAAACACTGAGTCATTTTTTTCATAGGATTACCCAAAGTGACATAGTCACTATTTCCCTATCAGTGATACTAACTGCAAGCAGTGTCTAGAGTTACATCAGCAGACTCACTGGTAGAGGTGAATTTCCAGTCCCTCTGATTTTGACACAAATTTTCAGATTCTGTCTTCTCTAACAGAGAAGACTACTATCCTTGTTTAAGCATTTCATGAATGGATGTAAGAGAGTTTTTGAAACAAGTGGTATTGTCATCTTTAGGACAATGGAAGTTTCTATGGTACTTAAAGATGTTGCCACAAATATAAAATGTCAGCAGTGTTACCTGAAACATCCTAAGCTAAGGTGACTTTTACAGTGTTGATTTTGATTATTTCTACCCATTATTCAAATGCATATTTACACTTGTATTTAATGTATATCCATTTTCAAGATCCTATTTACAGCACTTAACTATCGTACAGCCTGTTCATCTGCTTTATTTGAACTTGGAAAGTATTTCTTTTTAATTTTCATATTCATAATTCTAATACTCAAAGATACTTGAAAATAAAGATATACTTAATATGTCTAAGAGAAGAACACCTTGGTCTGGAAGTAGAAAGCATAGAAAAAGGCAAATACTGTGTCTTCCATTCTCTTATTTTTCCCTGGACAAGAAATACTCTGAGCAAAAGTCTTCCTTACTAAAGATTTGCAGCTTTACAAGTCATTTTGGCTACCCTGGCTTCACCACACCTGTATCAATGTGTCTGTTATACTCTAAGCAATAGTAGTATATCCTTTCAAAGGCATACACGAACAGAGTAGGAAAAACAACCAAACAAACAAAAAAATAGATATCTTCACATAGACAAATTCACACAGATTAGAATGTATTCTGCCTTCACTCTGAGCTGATCTGTGAGGCCTTTCTGAACTGAGAACCACACTGGTGTGCCAGCATGGTGCTCTGATAGCTCTGATCGCTTCTCAGAGAAACAGTCCATATAGACATACCCTAAGACAGTTACCAGTGTTTTTTCTCTCTTCTTTGTATTTTAAGGAAATGGCCATTTACAACAAACAGTTCTGACTTCATTCCTTCCCAATTTCTGGATTTAAAATAGAATTATTTAGCAAACTTTAGGAGACTCTTTCCAGTTCAGTACTGCCACTACCTTGTCGAACATAGAAGGCAGCAGGCACCATCACTGGTTTGGCATTCCACTTTACCCCCCACTAGCTCTTGTCTTAACCTTTCATTTATATTATTCTGGCAAAGCAAAAGCACACAGAGACAACTGTTTTTATCTTCAGCTCTGTGATGTGAATTTGAGTGCTTTTCACTAATTTCACTCATAATCAGTGCTGCTTAAGTTGTGAGTAAAATATCCATTTACATCAGCAGATGCAGAAATCAGGTTTGCACATTTAGTTTTGACTCAGTACAACTAGTAGTTGTAACATACTTTATGTTCCCTCATTGCAGAGCACAATAAGAATATTAAATCTTGCTATCATTATGCAAGCTTACTGTTTTTTGTAATATAAAATTATTATGATAGCTACAGAGAAACACATCCCAGAATTCTAACATACTAAAACTCTGTACAAACAAAGTTTCTAGGATTTAATTTCTCAGAGTAAATATATACAATAATGACAATGTTAGGGCCCCTGGTACTTACACTCTCCAAGATATATCAGTGTTACTGGTGTGTTGCATTTCAATAATAAATTTGCTCTCCACCTTCTTCTCCATTACAGTTCTATTTGAAAGAAAACCAAAACAATATTAAAAATCATTATTTATTCAATACTAACATTAGTTCAGCAGAGCTCTGCTCAAATCTTCCAGCTTTCTTTGTTTAAGCTTTGAAGTAGGTCATATAGAAACTTATTAGAATCTATATCACACACCCAAAACCCTGTATAAACTTTAAGCTCTGCAAAGTGTAACACAAACCAAAGATAGAAGGTTGTAGCTAGAAATAAAATGCCAAACATAATCTTCATGATTTGCCAAGAAAACTGTAGATAAAAATAAAGCCTGGAGGCTAACTCTAATACTTGGCTGTAGGAAAGCTTACTTTGCTGAGGACTAGAGTTTAGAATAACTCCCCGAAGAACTCTGGCACTGCTCAGAGCTGACTGCAAGGACTTATGTTATTTAGAAAACAATTCCTTCCAGAGCCAGAATGATTAGCTTTGGAGAACATATCTGGCTTTCTTCTCTTTTCAGTTTTTAGCTGAAATAAAATTATTTTGCCAATAGCATTTCTGGAGAGGTCCCATAGTGTGAATGAAGAGTACTCTGTGAAAAGACAGCTTTGTGACAGTGATGATTAATTCCATCAGAGCAGGAACAACAGCGATCAAACACTTCTGGCTGCTACATAACCAGAGGGAAAAGATTTTTCCTTCTAAAAAGCTACGTCCGAGATATCTCAAGTAGCTTATTATATCACTGCCCTCTCCAAATGTTGAGGCCAGGGACAAGTTGCTATCCTGCTGCTTATTTCTACAACCAGGTTTTGAGTTCTGCTGTATATGGAAGTATGCACAACAATTTATTTCCACCACTGAAGTACTCTGTCCAAAACTAGTCTCAGAAAACAAGATCATATCAACTGTTTGCAGCGCTCATAGCAGTATGCTCATAAGTAGTGAGACTCCTTGCCTTGCACATATTACTTCTCACCTAGCCTCTGAAGGCTGTTGTGTGGTCCCCCGGTTGGGTAGTTTTCTCTCAATCTGGGCTGCTGCGATCCTGCTCTCCTCTGCATGCTATCATTTTTCTCTCTTGTGCTAGCGCTACTGCTTCTGTGGTTGGACAGTAAGCTAGCTCAGGGAGTTAAGGCAGCTGAAAATCAGTCCAAGTCAAGTTTTCACAGGCTTGGTCCCTCATAGAGAGGACCTCACACCCCCAGTATATCAGCTGTTGCAGAAATAAACCTTTAGTTTCATCTCCAGTTTAACCATCACATCAGACTCTTCTGTCCCATTATTAAATCTTCAAACAAGAATCCTGTGCTCTCCCCTTGCAACTTCTCACATTTAACAGAAGCGTTCCATCAGCATTCCCTTAGCTATCTTATTCTTCTTCCAGTCTCCCTGCAATTAACATGGGTGAAACTGTTGACCTGCTATGACGATTTTCTATAAACATGGATCAAAAGCATCCCTTGGGTTTACTTATCCTGCCCATTTGCAAGACTTGTTTATGTGACTGTTCTCTCTGAAGCACAGGCTGTGTCTGTGCTAGATATTGTACAAGTACAGAACAAAGCTGGAGACGTGATGTAATAAAAATGACATATCCTAGATCAAGTAAAGGGCAAAAGCAGTCATTCTCAGACAGTGAGCTGTGCATATCAATAACAATAACCTCAGTGACCATACCTGTTGCTATTGCCAATACTTGTAGTGATTCATAGCGGAGGAAAAAAAAAGGAAAAAAAAAATTGTGAAGTACAGAATAGTTGTGCTACTGCTGGCTGGACACTGCTACATAAACTAGGCATTATATATGCTCACTGTGTTTGGATTTTCATTGTCTAGCCTGAAGGAGGGAAACATATGGATTGTTGTGATGCTCAGCAAAGAGAAAAAGGGCTGCATGATGAAAAGGCACTCTAGCCACTGCAGCTGCCAGTGCTTTCAGTAGCAGCATCGTGCTCCAAGCCAGCAGGCCTTGCTATACAAGAGATGTGTTGTGCTTTGCCTGTCATGTTGCCTGAGCACCACAGAAAGCCTCTCTTCCACTTTCGTTAACCCAGACACAGCTTCTGAACTCACTTTAACCCTGGTCCTAACAAAATCAGTCCGTGCTTTCCATCCTTGATGGCAGCACTGCATACGCTGCTGACATGAGCCCTGGTGCCTTCCATGCCATTTCTGCTCCTACATGAATTTAGAACTAACCCAAGAGATTCCTCACGGACTCCAAGCTCTCAGAATGAAAAGGAGGTGACTCAGCACTAGCAGCATGGTTTTTTCAAGGAGTGAGGCTGGGGCAAGTCAAAGGCCGTTCCTTCTATCCTTGCTCCAGTCCTCAAGCAAAGATGCATACTATAATCTTTGCCAACCCAAATTACCTTTATTAGCAGGCCCCAGCATGATTCCTGGTAACAAAGTCTAGACTGTGCTACTAAAATAAGACAGTAAAATAAGACAGCAGAAATCAAGTACTCTCTGGAGGTATTCTGACAGCAGATTGCACATATACTAGAGGACCCAATCTGGTAAAAGCAAATCCCAGCCACCAGAGCCTTGACTCTGTCCTACAGCACCCATTTTCTGCCTGCCTTGCCATGCAAAAGCTCCAGTTCAACATTGTACTGCTGCCTGGGAAAGGACTCTTGGATTTCTTAGGCCTGTTGGCCAGTTCTGCCTCTTACAGCCCACCACAGGAAATATCTAATGTAGTCTCTGCAGCATGGAGAGCAAAGCCAGGCTTTGCTGGGAAACATGCTAAGCAAGAACATAGCAAGTTCCTGACTAATATGCTGTCTATGCTGTCACCTGGAGCAGAGAGGGGCTCAACAAGGTGATGATGCTCCTCCAGTATTGACACTCATGCTTTGTAGGGCCAAGGAGGAGGTATGTCAGCAGTGCCACTGAGGTGGATTAAGGGGTTGCAAACACACACTACAGAGGGGATATAGACTTCATGTACAGCAGAAGAAACAGTGTTCTTACCTTAAACCCAGACTTTGAAAGGGATGCAGGAAAAGCTTTCAAGTGACTATATGGCACATGCATTTCTCACTATGTATGAAATCTACGTTTCCATTCTTTTAAAGGCATCTGGTAATATACAGGTGGCTAGGGAATTAATGGTGGTGAGGCCCTGGCATAGGTTGTCCAGAGAAGCTGTGGATACCCCATTCCTGGAAGAGTTCAAGGCCAGGTTGGATGGAGCCCTGGGTAGCACGTGCTGGTGGGGGGTAACCTTGCCCATCGCAGGGGGTTGGAGTCCGATGATCATCAAGATCCTTTCTACCCTAAGCCATGCTATGATTCTATGAAATAATACGAAGTTTAAAAACCAATCTCATCCAAAGGTAGTCCCAACAGAGCAGACTGTAGCAATGGGCCAAGCAGTTGCAATGAGAAGCACATCAGGAGGCTAGAAGATCACTGAAAGTGACCTGACACTGTGCCATAGCACCTGACAGCCTGTCAGCCCATCTGCAGGGTGCACCGCAGCAAGCAGCTTCAGCTAACACCTTCCATTCCCAGCTGGAGTAAGCAGAGACCACACACACACCACCAGTTGCCAATCCAGCCAACAGGCTCTGGTAACACAGCTTAGCATGTGCTCACACCCAAGCACATTTCTCAATCAATGAGTTTTGACAAGGCACTCACTAGACAGCATTCAGACATCTTGCAAAAACAGTGGCTGCTTAGCCCATGGATAACTCAGCACTCATGGAACCATGTAACTGCCCTCCTTATCTGTCTGTACTGTGCATAAACCGAACTTACTAATACAGATATAATCAATATCTGAAAATATTCTTTAATTTTTATGCATATATTTTTAAGATAAATTAATATGTAAGAATTTATAGCTTTTGAAATTTATTATTATTAATATAGTCTCTTTTTAATTTGTTACTATCAAACTTTTTTGTTATTAAATCAATACATGTTCAAGTAAATCAAAATGTCACAGGCCAAATTAGCATCTTTTCACCATATCTACATGGACTTCTACAAATATTTGAGCTGGTTCACAGACATCAGCATATTATAATACCATTCCACATAGTTTAAATTATCTTTCCCAGCCTCACCCAGTTTTACAGTGCTGAATGCATTCTTGCAACTACAAAGGCTGTTTAAGCATTACCAATTAATATCCTGACCTTCTGTCCCTTCCACCCATTGCTACATTTCCCTGTATATGTGCAAAGTATAGTAAGATCACGTACAACAGGAATAAAAAATCCCGTTCTATCGGAGGCCTGTCAAGCTGCCAAATTAACATCCTGTGCCTGTTCAGATAGCAGTTAAATCTGTCCTTGCTCCTATTCAACGCATGCCTCTAGGAGCCAAGGAAGGCTGAAAGGACAAAGCTCTTGCAGTTATTACTGACACTGTAATGGTAGCAGTACAAGCATATCAGTTCTTAGGACATGTTGTTTTTTTAAATGTGAATTCTAAAAATGTGAATATACTTTGCTTTCTCCTTCAGTGCTCAGAAAAAAAGCTCCAGAAAGCCATCCAACACCAGTGAAGTTCTCTCTCTCTTTGTGCTCTGGGGCAAAGTCACATGCCTCACAAAGGAAGGCATAATTGAGTTCTGCCAGCCCCCTGGGAAAAGTATTTGTTCTGAAAGCCCTAAAATCCTTCTTATTTCTGGAACAAAATCTAGAATCACCTCTTTCAATGGATGGGCATGCCTTCCACCTGGGTGAAGCCCCTTCTTCCTCAGATATTCACAGAATGTCAGTGAATAACCAAGAGCTTTCCAAAATTTCAGGCTTCCAGGGCTTGATTGCAATGTAGTTTTTATTTTATCAGAGAACTATCTCTTCTAAGTCTTGTGTTCTGATGCTACACTAGATGGGACCTGGTCTTCTTCCCAGCAGTATGTTGCTCTCACACAGATCCAAAAGCATCTGTCCTTAACTGTTCCTCCAATAAAACAAAAATGCAACAGCACCTAAAATGGAAAGGCAACAAGGTGACAAAATTAAGAAGCAATGATGGGTTATTTTTATATACTAATCACAGAATCGCAGAATTGTAAGGGTTA